AGCACGGCGGGGGCCCAGTGGCCGGGCCCGGTGTGTGAGGGCGGCGCGATCCCTTCTCCCCCGGGTGCCCGAGTGGGGTCACTCGGGGAGCGGGGTTTCCGCGCGGCTCAGGGCATCGCTCCCTGTGGAACGTCGGTGTCTGACGAGAGGGAACGCTGATCTTTAACGAGCTGTTGCTTTTTCCAGTCTCGAAGATATGACTCCAGAACCACCATATTCTCTCCAGAAGGTATTTTTTAACTCTGTACTTTCAAGTAAACTCTTAACTGTTCTATCCAGCTTCTCAAAGCTAAATAACAAACGACTTGTATAGAGGTTAGTTGTTTATAGGGTGTTTCTATCCATATACAATTTACAGGAATCATGTTTACCCCCTAGGAGTAGCTCCTAATTCTGTAAGGGCACCAAGGGTCCAACGTGGAGACTCCCAAATTCATTCTAATTCAGTCACTAATGAGACTGCAGCCCATTAGTGGGTAGTGCCACCTGCCATGTTTTGAAATAACTTGAGCAAATGGTCACCGTTTCTCTTTTGTTTGAGTGTGGCTCGTGATGCTCCTCCCCCCCAGAAGACATGGTGTCCCGCTGCTGCAACTTGAAATAACTTGAGCAAATGGTCACCGTTTCTCTTTTGTTTGAGTGTGGCTCTTGGGTGGGTTTTGTCACTGCTCCTCCCCCCGAGAGGACATGGTGTCCCGCTGCTGCGATCACAGCTCTCCTCTCCTTACCCCTGCTGAAACAAGGGCCTGCCAGCCATCTTTCCCTGTTTTTTTTTTAATGTGGAATGCACTTTAGTATCAAATATTTTATTTGATTATTGAAATCTGGCTCATTCTACTGCAACAAAGAGTTCTGTAGATACTTAAGAGTTCTTTATGTAAAATGTTGTGGGTTTTTTCCCCACATTGGCTATGTCCTGTATTACCTTATCAGATCCATGGATTTTCTTTCCCTGACTCCTTCCTCCTTTTCAACCAATTAATTTACTACCAACTGGAAATAAACTGAAGAAGTAAGACTGGGTTGGCCAATAAGCATCTGTCAGAGTCTTCCAAATTTAAGTCACCTGGTGTACTTGGTCTTGTTCAGTGTCACTTTGTTGCTGTTACTACTTCAAATCCTTTCCTAGGGCGCTTGTACCAGGTTGAGTACGCGATGGAAGCCATCGGACACGCAGGTACTTGCCTGGGAATCCTAGCAAACGACGGCGTTCTGCTGGCAGCAGAGAGACGCAACATTCACAAGCTGCTCGATGAAGTGTTTTTCTCAGAGAAAATATACAAACTTAATGAGTAAGTTGAAAAGATGATCATATGTCCAGTGATGTTATTGGTAACAAAACTACTATTCTTCAGACGTTTTAGCACTGAACCTGGTTTTATTTTATTTAAAGTGTTAGTATTCTTTTTGCTCAGTGGCCTAGACAGGTATGACTTATTTTGGCATTGTTTGTTTCAGTAGTTCTTTCAAAGTACGAGTGTTGCTTTTTCCCAATGTTTAAGATAATTTTCTAGGTGGAATAGCCTGTCTGTTGGTACTTCCCCATACAAGGTAATGTTATTGCAGCACTTAGGAAAATTGGGAATTCTCAGTTTTGCAAAATACCATTTAGTGGCGCAGCATACAGGATGCATACAACAGCCCTCCCCCTACTATTTGAGCTCAGCATCCTCTTCTAAGTCTTTTTTTTTCTTCTGTGATTTAAAGACAACAAGATAATTAGGTAGAACATACCTTAGGTTTCTTTGCCACAATAGTAGCAGAGATGATATATCTCCATATTACGACTTCCTTTTTAGCTCTCTGGAAGTTGAATTTGTGGTGTCAGAGGGAGAGTGTTAGGGATTATGCTCTCTTGCCTATAAAGGTGGTGGAGCTTCATCCTTGCCAGAGGGTGCAAACAAACAGCCTGACGTCCTGTCACCTCCCGTTCTGTGTTGACCTTGCAAACAGCTGGAACTGTAGGAACCCTAAAGGCAGGAGCCGATAAACCTCTTTTATACAGCAGCTAGTTATGATCGGAAAGGCCCAACAGTACGTGTTCTTGAGCTGCTGTATGAAGATGTGACTATTTGTTGGTGACTGATAGGAATTCTGTTAATTGCTGTGCTTCTGTTGCAGGGATATGGCTTGCAGCGTTGCAGGAATAACTTCAGATGCCAATGTTCTCACAAACGAGCTGAGACTGATTGCACAGAGGTAGGTCTGCTCGCACTTAACGTGGTTTCACTCGCCTGTGATGTCAGATTCAGTTCCGTTGATGTATTTAATCAAAACAAACATGTTTAGGACAGCGGAAGTAGACTGAAGTAAAGCAGTTAGATCAAAGAGGCTCTAATTTAGGAGCTTGTTTCTTGTTAAATATGGTACAGGATACTGTCAGCAAATCAAGTTTTAAAAACTGTTGTTTTCTCCTTCATATTAGGTATTTGTTACAGTATCAAGAGCCCATTCCTTGTGAGCAACTGGTAACAGCACTGTGTGACATCAAGCAGGCTTATACGCAGTTTGGAGGTAACGGAGTGTGATGAACCATTGTGCTTTCAAATATCTAAAGAATGAATCTATTACATAATGGGAAGCATCCAAGTCTCTGGACAGTTCTACCAAATTCTTCTGTCACAAGTTATACTGGGAAAAACAATAGCCAAATTTAAGGGCGGAATGAGTAGTTTTGCTACTGAAGGTGCTCCTCCTTAGGGGTTGAGAAATGGATGGCGGAGGTTCCAGCCTATCGCACAGAACACTTTGAGGGAATTCTCCAAAAGACCAGCAGAGAATTGTTTGCTATTTTGGGCCCATCCAGAGTAATGGCACAATGAATCACAATTCAGACTATATGGAGGGGGATCAATATTGTAGCACTTGAAAAACGATATTTCTGTGGATCAAGCAACGTGTTAGAAAATGTTGTAAATAGTGCACCTTAGTATGTGAACTGATGGTTCTGGTATTTTACATATATGTGGTGTGAAAGAATGACCTTTTTACGTACCTGGTTTTTGACACTGTTAAGTTATGTGCTTTAACAGCTAAGCTACGCACTTTAAATACTAAGTTTTGATTTTAAAGTCCTGAGATGATAAATTACAATTTGTGGAGACAGAAATGAGCTGCTCTTAGGGTTAAATGAAATAAACCTCTGCTGTCATCCCCCCAACAAAGAAATGTTGGCGTGCTTATCTCAAGCAACAGAAGTGCAGAATGGTCTGTTAAATCCTAGTTCACAGGAAGAGATTTGAAAAAGGAAATCAAAGAAAATAATTGTCACTCATGACCAATCTTGTTACTAAATTTAGATTGCTAATTGCTTTTTTTTTTTCAACAGGAAAACGTCCTTTTGGTGTTTCACTGCTGTATATTGGCTGGGATAAGCACTATGGATTTCAGCTGTATCAAAGTGATCCTAGTGGAAATTATGGAGGGTGGAAAGCTACATGCATTGGGAATAATAGTGCTGTAAGTTCTGGTTTTTTACCTCTCAAAGTGAAAGAAAGTGTAAATTGCACTGTACTAATTAAACTGAGTTGTTGATTATTAGTACAGAGCAGAAATAGGTTGAAGCATTGCTCTTAATCATGTATTGATACTGGCTGGCAAAAAGCAACTGTTCGGTTGATTGCCCAAAGATATAATTTTAATTTCTGTGACATTTATAGGCAGCTGTGTCAATGCTAAAGCAAGACTACAAAGAAGGAGAAATGACCTTAAAGACTGCGCTTGCATTAGCCATTAAGGTTCTAAACAAAACCATGGATGTCAGCAAACTCTCTGCAGAGAAAGGTAAGCAGTTTGCTAATACGGGATAACACCCTTTGCTGGAAAAAAGAAAAAGTGGGGAATGTATATACGTTTTACTGAATTTTTAGTTGTGATGTGAAAAGCATTTTTAGAAGACGCAGCAGCTCTCAGCCTTAGCCTCTCTAAGAGGCATGTGGATGGTTTGGTTGAGGATGACCCACCTGGGTCAGCTGCAGGGGTGTAGGGATGGCTGTGTGTCTGGTGGAAGAGTCACTGGAGAGGTCCTGCCGCGCTGGTGCACGCTGCTGGAGAGGACGGCTGCCGTCTGGCTCACCAGTCAGGCCTCTCTGTAGAGGCAGGACAAGAGCCTGCTGCTTCAGTGTCAGGTGTCACCACAGATCTTACCCTTCTGATGATTGCTCTGCCTAAAGGACAAAATGTAACGCCGCTGTCTGTTCCATATGTTTCAGTTGAAATTGCAACACTGACAAGAGAGAACGGAAAGACAGTAATAAGGGTTCTGAAGCAAAAGGA